CAGTCTCACTCTGGTGGAAAATCGACAGGGCTGCTCAACACATTTTGATTGTGGATACAGCCAGACCTTTGTCGAATTAATGCGCAAAAAAGACTCTAAAAGTGATGGTATAGTACAGTCATCCAAAAGTAAACCCCATATCACGGCAGAATATCTCGCTTGGCTACGTACAATGAGAAAGAAATTCAACTGTACACACAGAGAAAGTACCAAACGATTTTCTATTGATGCTTCAACGCCGTCACCCATCGCAGGTTTTCAGACTCCCACTGACAATGCCTGGACCCCTCTGGACAGCCCTCGTCTCTTGAAAGAATGCCGTACAATGCATCCCTGGCTGTGGAATCAGGATTTGGTGGCAGTACCTCAGCTGAAATGAGCGAATAAAAGAGGAGGGAAGTTGAACGTGTCCCGCCACCGCACCCAACACAGGGTTGCCCGCAACGTGGCAATACAACAGCGATGCAGGCCAATGTGATGACGTCATTCAACGTGACAAATTTTGCTGCGTCGCTTGAACATTTTATTTTGGCGAAGTAAATTTGAGTAAATCTGAGGGGCATGCATGCGCTTGACGACAGACGCACTTGTTAGTGATCTGCTTCGTGCGAATGATCAGATATCGTGATTCGAAATAAATCACCCAAACGTCTTTCTCCTGAAGGGTGCGTGTGGCATTATAGTCACGCAAAATGTAGAGCAGTCTCATGGAATACAAATTAAAGGTATTTTATAACCTTCATCACATTATTAAAGTATAATTCATGTTGAATTATGTCAGCAAATTAATTCTAATGGATCTCTTTTGGGAGGTGGAAAAATTATTGCGTTTCTGATATGTAACTGTAAAGATTAGTACAATCAATTGTAATAAAATAAACTGTATTGAAATCCCATTCTAAAAAAAATGTAATTATGTTATTGCAATAAAGTGTACTTATACATTGTGTATTACTTATTTCAGCAGCTTGAATCGCGCAGAGCTTTATAACAATTGTGTGCATTCCATATTTCATGTGTATAGAATTTTGTGATTAAAAATGACAAATTTATTAGCCTGCAGCACTTTATTGCACATACTGAGGATAACATTTTAAACACAATTTTTTAGATAGCATTGGAAATTACTTGCTTCAACATTAATATTTAGCGATGCTTAACGCTGATGTTATGCGGTATAAAATACATTTAAATTAAAACAATTGCCGCATGATAACACTAATTGTAGCAATCTGTCATGAGTGCCTGAGCTGCATTGTTTTTCAATGAATTTCTGTCCATTTAGTGAACCAATTAAGTTAAGCCTTGACAAACTGTGTTTCTGGAAAATAAAATTGATGCAGGCCATTTAAAATACCAACTGACAATTAGCCATTTCACTACGGCTGCCGAGGTATTAAAGGGTGAACACTAGGCGCAACAAACACCAATGAAATGTGGAAGGTGCATATCAAACCAGCAGAGACGGAAAGAGCAGAAACAAATAAACGTAGATAAAGAAAATTCACAAGTTCGTGACATCATTCCAACTACGGTACTAAGAAATGTAAAAGACTGTGGGCCAAAGCGACATCACCAGAAGGGATGATGGCACAATCGTCAACAATAATAATACTAACAATTGAGTGGCAGCCACAGAAGGGAATGTGCCCGAGAAGATATCCACCGAGGAGATAGAACCATGAAATTATCTCCAGTGCAGGCGCTCGGTGTGTTATATTATCATCATCATCATCGCAGTCGCAGGATCCCAAGAGGTGGTGATGGCTCAGAGTGGCCTTCTGCAGTGCAATGGCCATGGCTGACGATAATGGTGGCACAATGTATTAAAAAGGATGTCTGCAAAGTCATGCAGTGTTCTCGTGCGTGCGTGCCAAATATATAAAGGGTTAGAGGAAGGGGTGGAGGGAAGTGGCAATGTTAATTAAAAGCAGTGCGACTCGTCGAGTAATATTAAGCCTTTTTTTCTGGACAACCTGGGCAATGTACACTTTAGGTCCATTAGCCAGTCTCCCATTCATCATTAAGGCATAACACCCCACAGTATTTTATTGCACTTTACACATAGCACTACTTAAGTAATGGGTGGCCAATTATTGGTTTCTCATCAGGCTAAATGGAATATAAATTGGGCGCGCGCATCCCTTGCAGCAATACCACGACCGATCGATTGAGTCAGTGAAAAGAGGTGAAAGAGGTTGATTCTTTACCGTCGAAAACGTATTTGTCGCAAGTATTCTTTTTATAGGTATCTGCTTCGTTGATGGCTGTAAAAAAAAACGAGTCACTTTGCATGGTGTGGTTCAGGAAAATGTTTAGGTGTTTTGTCGTTTATTTCTCACTCGTGAAATTAAGGAAATGTACGCCAGTGAGCGCAATGGAATTGAAGTGTCAAAGCCAACTGGTCTATCTTGAGTCACCGTCATCACCACCAGTGTTCAAGGAAGACGGGGACTTGCGTTTCAAGCAGGGTTTTTTTGAGTGTACGTCTGCCACCTAGTGGATGTTGTCCCAATTGGCAGTTGAAGCAATCACCCCAAGCGGTTGGGGCGATACGGTCGCAAGTTGTTAAAACTATACGGGAGGTCGTCAGTTCGAGGGCTCGATCCAGACGCCTGTATATTTGGAGTTTGCATGTTCTCCCCGTGGTCACGTGGATCCTCCGGTTTGTCCCTCCACATTTAGAATGTCTATTGAGAGAGCGAGTCTAACGGTTGACAAGGTTTTTTGGAACGTTTCTTCATGTGTATTGGTTGGAGGGTGGCATCATTTGTGTGTCGGGGCACCACGGTGGCGAGATGTTAACTACCTCTCAAGGTATGCAGGAGATCGTCGGTTCTGTCCCGAACCGGACGCCTGCATATTTGGAAAATAGGTTTTTGGGTTAGATCACGTAAATATATGAATTTGTTGTTAAGACCCGCCACCATCCGACATAGCAAACTAGTAAAGGTTATATTCTTAGCTCTTTCGGTAAAGTCACGTTGAAGGGAAACAATAATAATACTAACAATTGAGCTAAGAATTGAGTGAACAATATGAATTACTGCAGTCACGAAAGCTTTAAATCAAAATCTAGTAAAGGTTGTCACGTAAACAGAACATGCCCTTTGATCTTGTCCTTCCTGTCTATTGTGTGTATCAAAATAGCCGTACCAACGGTAATCCCTATTGAAGTAAGCTGCCCTTCATAGGTATGTATTTAAATCATGTATTATTTGATGATTCGCTTCCACGCAGCACTAAGGCGGTAGTTATCCGAACGGTTAAAATTTTTATTTATTTATTTCAATTTCGATAGATTATCTAATTTGTCTTGGCCAGTAGTAGCTAGTTTTGCATAGAACTTCAACATTATCAAAATCAATTGAGTGTGCTTGTTGGCACGCGTGTTCTGCTTCTGCTGACAGTTGTATTATTTTAGCCTAGTGCTGATCATTCGTCCTGTTTGCCCAACATAACATTTTCCACACGTGCAGTTAATCTTGTACACACTTTCTGTTGATCGCTTCGGCAATACATCTTTTGTAGCAGATATTAATTTCCGTATTTTATGTACCGTGCCAAATCTGACTCGGATGTTTGTTTTTTCCAAACATCTGGCTAGTTTATCAGTTACTCCCGCAATGTACGGTATTTTGATCGTTTTAATTACTTGGTCAGTTTCAATGGTCGTGTTATTTGATTTGGTTTTGGCATGCAATGGCCTGTTGATTTGTGCATCATTGTAACCATTCATTTGCAGCGCTTCTTTAACATGTTGAATTTCACTTATCAGACTGTCACCATCTGACACTTTCATAGCTCGATGAATGAGCGTCTTGATAAGAGCAGATTTCTGTGCGGGGTGATGGTGTGACTCTGCATTCAGATAGGTGTCAGTATGCGTTTTCTCTTCGGTAAACACTGCGTGTTATTTTACCATTTCGACCCCGTCCGAGCAGAATATCCAGAAATGATAGAGTTATGTCAGCTTCCACTTCCATGGTGAACTGTATGGATGGGTTTTTGCGAGTTGAGATGATTTAGAAATGCGTTTAGTGTATCTTTGCCGTGTGGCCAGACCACCAATGTGTCATCCACATATCTAAACCAAGCAGATGGTTTTAGTGTGCTTGAAGCTATTGCTTTTGTTTCAAAATCTTCCATGTACAAATTCGCTATCACAGGAGACAAAGAAGAGCCCATTGCTGCTCCTTCCTTTTGTTTATAGAAGTCACCTTGCCACAATAAGTAAGTGTTCTTTAGACAGTGTTCAGCTAGGCTTGGGACACCACCACATCTACGCCTCTATATAAGGAACGAAACAGTTAGACTTCTCCACAAATATGTCTGTCGCCTGATGAAGCTAGTTGTAATTACTGGCGAAACGTCGTACTCAGATTGTAAATGTTGTGGCTTGGCTCTCCAACACACCGGTGTTGCTGTACTAGTGACGAATTGGCCACGTTCTGTTTACGTGACAATACCTTACTAGTTGGTTGTGTTGGATGGTGGCGGTTTTAACGACACATTTATGTATTTACGCGATCTAACCCAAAACACCTCTCTTGTTATGAAGCGGTTGTGCTTGATTCGTCCATTTTCCGAAGTCTTAATACAATGTTACTTTCACTAAGAGTAAAACTATCTCAACGACAACTTTCCCGAGCATGCAACTTTTAGGTGAATTTGAAAAGGAAGTTTTTAAAATGCGGCATAAACTTTCGTGGTCGCTGCAAGGGACTAAAATGTGCAATTGCATTTTACACACAGGAGGGCGATGTCGTGGTGATGTAGGTGGTTAGAACAATCGTGGCAAGTACAGGCAGCAAAAATTTGATTCCGTGCCATGGCTAACATCAGTGGTGAGTGATAGCTGAACTGGTCCTGGGCACAACCTTCAACAACACCCATTGAACGGCCTGGTGAAGTATGGCCAAGCAAACCCCATATCTGACATGGCATATACCAGGATGGCCTTTATCCAGCCGTGGATTAATCGAGGGAGGTGAATGTAAGCGTATTTTCTTTGGCTGTTTTTGCACATGTACATTTATGATGTGCCAATTAAATGAATGCTAAATAATATGGTCATTTCTGAGGGACGAAAAAAGAGTACAAAAATGCACACCACTCGGTAAGGCGTAATTTTGTGAAACATTGAATTTAATGAATGTGAACTTTTTTCATTTGAAATTTACAAAAACATACAAAAGTGAAATGTGAAAAAAAAAACAATTCCGACATTTTTAATGATTAGAATTATAAATACTTCCATGTATGCAATCAACTGGAACATTTAAAAAGCCCTAAACATGTCATTTCAATTTCGGTTAAGGCTGTTGATACGTATATACCGTTACATTTCCCATATCAATAGAAACATTTGCCAATTTATTTGTCAAATCGTTGGTTCATAAAAGTGTCAGAACAAATCTGCACTGCAGTGTTGTATCTTAAACATTTCTAAAGTTATAACCAGTGTTAGATCCTAGAAAAACATTTCATTGTAAAATTGTGTTTCATATATACGTATATGAGATGCACGTTAATCTACCTTCATTACCACCCACTCTTCCTGAAGTAAAATAGTTTTTCAAACATTTTAGAAAAAATTGCTGGGCAGTGTTACTACGGCATTTCAATATTTTTGTTGTTTTTTTTTGCATTTATAAAAATTATTATTCTAGAAATTTCTTTACCAAAAAGGTCTATATTAAATTTAAAAAAATTACTATGTTTCACGTATGATTATTTTTAGAACGGCTCAATGAGTAGGGGTTGCTGCCCATGCCATTTCGCTCTTGACAAAAGTGGATTTACATTTCCAACAGAATAATCTGCCATGAACTCAGCACTTGTTTTTTTTGTATTCAACACAACCATGGCCACATTGAATCGGCAGTCTTTCCTCACCCGTAGAGCCCCGAGTTTTATCATAAGTGAAACACAGATGGCAGAGACTCGTATTTTAAAAAAAGTATTAGGTATAACAGTCAATTTAAACTAAATTGAAACAAAGGCAGATATTCTCTTTGAACATTTCAATAATTCACTTGAGCTTCGATCTTCTTTGAAGATATACATATACAATGTACATTGCTATATACATTTAAAAAAAAAAGATACACCACCAACAACAACAATAACAACAAAAAGAAAACAGATTGTGGCAGGCCGTCAAAAGCTAATGCAGCGTAGCGACGTCAAATCCCGTCGGCGTCGTCGTCGTCGTCATCATCGTCGTCGTCGCTGAAGCTGCTTGTCTTGGAGGCAGTGGGAGAGACGGACGAGAGCAGGGGGTCCGAGCCCCCCACTGGCGATAGACCGTCGTCCAGCAGAAAGTCCCTGAGCCGCAGCCCATTGGTGAATGGGTAGCACTCGGCAAACTGGTCAGCCGGATCGCCTAAGTGCGTGAGCAGCTCAGTTGGCAGCCGATGCTGATGATGCTGGTGCTGCTGCTGCTGCTGATGCTGCTGCTGATGCTGCTGATGCTGCTGCTGCTGTTGCTGATGCTGCTGCTGCTGCTGCTGGTGGTGGTGATGGTGACTCAGGAGGTCCGTGTAGCCGAAGGTCCCCTCGTTGAGGTCGAGGATCGTGATGCCCCCTCCGAGGTCCGGTACGCCCGACACGGCGGTCTCGGCGTGCTGCAGGGCGAAGTCGAGCCGTTGCAGCCCCCCCATGTCGGGCTCCGCCTTGATGAGCTGCTGCCCGTTGAGGTCACCGGTGGTCAGGCCCGTCGGGGAGCTGCTGGGCAGGCCGTGAGCTCGCGCCTGCATCTCCAGCTCCTGCAGCCGACACGTGGGGCGGTGTTTCGCAGAGGATGAAGCTGCTGTGTGTCTCGATGTCGAGGAGCGTTTGCTTGCGTGATGAGACGCAAGTCGCAGGGTTTGCTTTACGATATCGTTGGGGAGAGTCAGCAGGCTGATGGGACTACAATATATCTTTACTGAAATGTGGGAGGACACAGCATTCAATTTTCCATGTGTTGGCATTGCCGAGCACAATAATGATTGTCATGTAAGTGTGTTGTTTTAAAAAACAATCCAGTAACGTAATCATCATTCGAGAATATTGGATGGCCATACTTCACCACTCTGGTCAGTGCGGGTATGCGAACGCGGGATATGATGTCATATATTTGTTGCAGAAGACAATCGCTAGAGGTTGGCAATGGATCGGTCATGGCTGATCATGACGATGACGCAATGTCATAATTATGACCACTTCTCAGATACAGATACAAAAAAATAATATATACAGATTTTAGAAGTTATTGCCTTGGAAGGACATTGATTAATTTTCTTGGAATTTCATTGTGCGTGGCAGTATCAAAGCAGGTGAAATGTTGTACCAGCAGTGGCGACTACAACACTTCACTTTCCTTAAATGTAATCCCAGAAAAATGATGCGCGTTGTTTGAGTGGAAGCCCAATACACTCATTTGCATTAATGTCCCACCTTAAATCATTTTTTTTAATGGAACAATGCAGCGAGTGCCCTTCCATAAGGCACCTATGGTGGACGTGATGTGCCATTGAAATTACAACCGCCTCCACGGGATGTGTGTGTGACGGAGAGGGGTTAGGCGATGCCCAGCGACTTTAAGCGGTGTGCGGGGAACCCAGAATCCTATTGTTGACACTGCCAGCTGAAGGGGGAGAATGTGGGTTACAGTTGAAACAAACTTCTCCTTAAACGATTAATCGTCGCACATTAATGCGTAGCGAGTAGTACAACAAAACTTTAAGTGGTTTTTCAGCGGAAAATAAGCATACATTGATCTTTACTCTTTGGTTCTATTGGGTAAAGTCACGTAGGTAAAAAATAAAATAACAAAAATCACGACGTTTCGACCACAACACAAGTGGCCTTATTTTATTTTTCACCTACGTGACTTTACCCAATAGAACCAAAGAGTATACATTGATCTTCTTTAGTGCTTTCGGTAAGGTCACGTAGAATGAGAATAAACTAATAAAATAACAATAAAATTCTCACGACGTTTCGGCCATAACGCAAGCGGCCGTCTTCGTGACCTTGCCGAAAGAACCAAAGAAGATGAATCCTTGCAGTCACGAAAGCTTTAAATCGAAATTTAAGCATACATTGATTGGGTTACCCAGCCTTCCTGTGGTCCTGATTCAAGCAATGATTTGTGGCACGTGACGCCCCCTAGTGACGCAGCCCTCGGCTGCACCGCATCGCTCCACAGGCGACGTCTATGAGATGAACAGTCCCAAGCAGTGGTTCTTAACCTTTAACTGCAGCCTTGCATCCCTTTGGTCCTCAACCGTTACACATATGTAGAATGCTAATAAACGCATAGGGGTTTGATGAAACAAAGTAGTAGTTAAATTTTGATTTAAAGCTTTCGTGACTGCAGTGATTCATATTATTGGTTCTTTCGGTAAAGTCACGTTGAAGGGTAACAATATATATTTTATTATTTTATTGTTTCCCTTCAACGTGACTTTACCGAAAGAAACAAGAATATAAAGTAGTAGTTGTACTTAAAGCGCCGTGCTAAATTTGTGTTTTCGATTATTCAACCTTCGAACACAAATCTGGCCGTGTCCCGCACTCAGAGAAAGATCATCTCGCACCCCCAGCGGGTGGTGCAGCGTGCACCCCAGGTCAAGAACCACTGGACTTGAGCATTGCTTCTCAATCTTCTTGGTATAACCCCCCCCGCCGCCGGCTGTTCTCCCCATCCCATCTCAGGCAAACATGTTGTTTCTTTGTGTGTTTTGTCACAGCATTATAAATATGATGACAGTCAAACAATCTTTACATTCGTAACAGCGTATGTGAGTTGCACTTGTTCAAAGTAAGCCTGTTGACTCCTTCCTATCCTCCAACCGGTCCACGAATTGCATCGTCGCCCTAACTCTGTCGTTTCGTTCCTTCGCCTCCGAGCAATGCCGCCGAAACTCCGCTCCCTCGCAACAATGAGGTGCCACCCATGTTCTCAAACGTTAGAATGAAGCTCCCACGTCATCTGGAGACGGTCGTAAAATAAAAAGACACTCGGGGAAAGGAAGTCCACGTGGGAAGGAGACTTGCCTGCATGCGCATGATAAGGCCTCTGTTGGTCTGCTCCAGCCGCCTCTGACGATTCTCCATCTCCTTGACTCTTTGCTGCTCCTTCTGAAGTCTCCGGATGTAGTCCACAGACGCCTTCAGGATGGTGCCCTTGTTCCACCGCATGTCCCTGGCGACGACATCACGCGCCGTTTAAAAGCGGCCACTGGCAGTTTCGCCAATTTTGCTTCGATTATGCGGGATACGGGACAGAGTTGCGGTGAGCGGCGTGGAAAATGGCTCAGAGCGGCAGTTAAGTAAGCATGTTAGCTGTTGTCGTATGTATGTTGAACTTCTTTCGCACCGTGCGTAGCCAACCGCGCAGGGGAAGGACGACAAACTTAACACAAAATAAAGTTTAGAAGAAATTAGTTTTCAATCCCTACTATTTAAAAGTGCACAGCTCCAGTGTCTTCCTCATATCGGAAGTAAGAGCGTTCCAGACGGCCGTGGAAGCCAAGGGGTAGTCACTCATTTTAACATAATGGCCACTCGGCAGTGGGTAGCGCATGTGAAGAACATTGAGCATTTAAGGTGTTTAGTGTCAATGAATTTTAACTCTAAAGAAGGGAAAGATGTAATGTTGGTGTTCATTGGTAGTCAAAATACTTATATAACGCACAAGGAATTACAATTACTTTTTTCTTAGCTCTGCCACTGATTCAGGTTTTGATGTTGGATTTTGTTTCAACGTCAGTTGCTAGAAACATGGCATATCTTTTTTCAGCTAGTATTATGTTTTCACTGGGAACCCACTGTTGTACACTGCGTCAACAAAACCTGGGGACTGTGTTTCTCACAGAGGTGGTGCAATGAGGATGAATCTCGACGATTAAACAGCTAAATTAACAGCAGGAGGGTGAGGGGTTGTGGCGGAAATTCCCATAGAAGTCGACTGATTCACTGAAATGTATAATACTTCATTTTCATTCAAGTATTGTTTGTGATGATGATGTGAAGAATAATCACAGACAACAGAAAATCAATATATTTGTCGATCACACCGCCCTAAAAAGTAAACATAAACTAGGCGAGGCTTCAGGCAAAACCCCTCCTTTGTTCTAGAACGATTATAATTTATGGGTTTATAAAAAATAATAAGTATTTTCTGCTTGTGGGCTCGTAAACTGGTTGAATATACATTTTACTAGGATCTGTCCTGTGAACTTTGGGTCATTTGCAACGCTTTACCACCGAGGAGGTAAACGGTTTGAGTAGGACAGGTTCAAACCATTAAGCTGGTTTAGTATTTGCCACTAACCACATTTATGTTGCAATGAAAGTAGCCGCATACAAATGGAAAGGGAATGGATGTTTAGCTGCACAAAGTCACTAGAACATATAATCACGGAGGAACAAATCCGTTTACATTTCTTTAATATTCGTGAGCGTTTTAATACAAAGCTCCAGAGAGTGTGGCGTGCCTGTACAAAGTGTAGAATATCCAATTGCACTCAATTTCAAGTGTGCCTGTGTCATCATGAATGCTATCGCACACGCCTGCCAAGTTGTACATTAATGCAACGCATGCACAAAAAATATACTGCGATAAAATTATAACCCTCTTAGCGGACAACAATGGGAGGCGTAGTGAATACTCCGAGGCATTTAACGCATTCGCCATCTGTGCGTTGGTAAATATTCCTCCTGCAGTCTTGCGTAAGTTGAAGGCATTCACAAATAATGGAGCAAACCGAAGCCATCGCCAATTCTCAAATGCGTGCAAACTAAAAGGGGGCTTGCATTTTTTTTTATGGCATCGCGCGGTTGCAAAACGAAAAGGGCCCCCTTGTAAAAAGAAGGTCGCAGCGTTCAAGATAAAAGCGGTTGGTAGCACAATATAGCACTAAATTGTGGGTTACCCTTTCAAGAAGATCATATAGAGCATTGCTTATTCCTGTACGGGTGAAATTTGACAGATAAGGTCACACAATGGCTTACTCTTTCTAAGCGTGGCGTGGCGCGCTGTGTAGCGGGGACGCGCGAGTCTACTTCCGTAAAGATGAAACGCTCTCCGCACCTTCTTGACCTTGCGCCAATTATTTACCCAGAAGGCATTGGCTGCTTATCGGGGCTTTTTCCTTTTTCAAGGGGGCGCTGCACGTGGGAGGAATATTCGTGGGTGTCATAAGGTGACACTCAAATCTGCCACCTTATGGGCACTTTGCAGCCCTCACTCCTACAGCACCTGGCAAGCCCCAGGGATCATTTAACAAAGGACCAACCCGGCTCAGAACTGCTTGGCTTATCAATCTGATAAAATGGGAGAAATGTAAGAATACCTGACATTTATTATTTTGTCTGCTTTTTGTTGTTATTGTTATCTGGTATTATCCTCACGTATTTAATCCTTGCTTTGCATTCTATTCAGTAGTCCAAGTATTCTTTATACGTTTGTCACTTTACTTATCAAGAGAAGTGCACTGCCCATTTAAACTACCAAGACATTAACATGTAAGTAAGTGCTCTCTAGCCTGGCATAACAAAAACTAAGCACCTATGTACAATTTTACCACATTTATATTAGATGTGTGTTTTGCGCGGAGCATTAGTGCAGTTCCTAGCATACTACACTGTGATCTCGGTGACCTGAGTTTGGTTCTTGGCCAGGGTTAACACCAATGGTGGGTGAAATCGGAGGCTGTTTTGTGCCCCTCTCTTCACGAACTCACACTGACCAGGATGGTGGAGCGTGATCAGACAGTTCCCCATGGGAGGGCTCCATCCAGCAGCTGATTGATAAAAGATTGAAAATTATTATTGTGCATGCCTTATATGCTAAACAATTATTTTCGTTTTACATGACCCAGTTTCGTGCAGAGATATACCAAACTCATCTCATGTGGATCTAAAGTTACTATCAGACAATCCTTGCTTCCATTGTTGCCTATGGTTTGCAATGCATTAATGGCTATCTCTGTCACACGGTGTTTTAAAGTCTCCAGTTATTGATTACATGGCTTTGACAACGGCATACGTGCTTTTAAAAAAAATCCAAGTATTATGACTGTGAGCCGTTCATCATTTGATGGACACTGTTAAATAATAGCAGGGTTAATTGGTCTACTTTATTTACCCTTCTGAGCTGGACATTCCTTGAAGCGTTTAGTGAGTCAACAGCCAAGAGGAGGGAGACACATTGGCTGAACTGGGCGGACGATAAATCATTGCCTTTTGTCTGGCGGCAGCTGTAACATTTATTGCGTCGCTTTATTTCCTGTACCTGGCGAAAGAGCCATTGCGTATAAATGTGTAAAATGTTTAACAGCCGGTGGATTGGACATTGAGGTGTGCCGTAAACAGTCAAGAGCGAGGATTCTTTTAGCTGTTGCCAACACTAGAGAGTCAAACACACAAAAACTATATGGTCCAATAAGCGGTTTTGATTACGGTGAGCATCGCGTCCTTTATGGGGAGAGGCACACGTAAGCAGTAAAAAACACAATGAGCACGTAAATACTTACGGGTCGTTGGATTTCGGAATAAGCGTGCCGAGCTCTTTAATGCGATCGTTAATGTTGAACCGTCTCCGTCGTTCAACTGGTCACACAGGGGCACGGGTGAATGTCAGAGAACGGCAAAGCATTTGCTTCGTTACCACTCAAATGTATTTATGTTTACCCAGGAATGTCACACGAAGTCCGAATACTCTTTTTTTTTGCAGGAGGGTTCAGCATTCGGATGTTTGGCCAACACCAGTTGCATTCGTTTTATAAACTTAATTTAAATGCTCTTTTGTTTTTTTCGGTAAAGTCAGGTGACTTACCGAAAAAAAACAAAGAGTATGGATCCTTGCAGTCACGAAAACTTAAAATCTAGAATTCACTCAAATGGCATCGTTTTTTTTGTCTTTATTCACTTTGGGGAGTAAATCAGAGAACCCCGAGTAAACGCGTGGAGGGCAGAGGAAGAACGTACAAACCACACGCACAAAGGTTACACAAATCAGGACTCAAACCCAGGTCCTTCTTGCTGTGAGGAACAAGTGTCTTCGCCACTGCGCGACCCTGCCACCGACAAAAAACCTAAACGTTGTGTGCACGTGACCGCGCAGTGCGTGACCTCTGTGAGGACTCACTAAGGTTGTGGTTGTCCTTCTTTTGCCTTTCCTTGGCCAAAGCTCTCACCTCAGGTTCTGTCGATTGAAGAAAAGTCCATTAGTAAATAACACGTCTTGGATTTTTGCACATGGGTGAAGGATAATTTTATTTCCTGCCAGGCTACCCCAAGCATGAACTCAACGAGCCTGTTGTTATTTTACCAGGTAAGGCCCACTGAACCATATGGCGCTTTTTCAGAAGCGACCTGGCCACAAACGATAGTTCAACGAAGTGGCTTATCACGTGGAAATTTATGGCAGCCAAATACTCTAGACGCACGTTGATTCTAAATGTGGAGGGGAAAAAGCGGAGGTTCCGAAGAAAAATGCACGGGACCACGGGGAGAACATGCAAACTCCAAATATACAGGCATCAGGGTCGAGGTTAAACCGACGACCTCCTGCATACCAGGCGAGGTAGTTAACATCTCGCCTGCTATGCACTAGCAGCGGGGAGCCTGAGAAGTTGGTAAAGGGTGCAGCCTTGAAATGTCTTTCTGACACCACTGCTGGTAAGAAGAGTCTCCACTCGAGGGAGCTTTACAGAGCCCCTCGAGAAAGGCTTACTCAAGGAAATATTCACCTCGAGGTGTTCCATTCAACGAGTCACTACGGCTGTCAGAGCTCTGGCCATTTGCAGCCTTACAGATTAATGACCACTTACGCTTAAAACCCACACAATGGCACGATAAACACGGCGGTGCTCCTTATTATCACGTGCTTTAGAAACCACGCTGTGGTCACTATGCCCAGTGTCAGATAAACACGCCTAGAACGCAAGCAACCCTCTGCCAAAGAGCGACATTCCACACAAATAGCACAGAGACACATCCAGCAAACGCGCGGTTGCATGCACATCTATACACAGCTCGCTGAACAGATCGCCATGCAACTGGGCTGGATTCCACATGGCTAAACGGTGCTCAAATATGGAATTATGATTAACTGCTTTCTCGCCACATAATCACGGACTAACCTAAGATAAAAATGGCCCATATAACACACACATGATGTTGGGGCAAGTGCAGCTAGCGAGCAAGCCCTGCGTATAGAATGGGGGGGGGGGAGGTGGATTGTGGCCGGTGCTGGGCCTGAACGTCTCCCCAGTGCTGATGTTTATACACTGCACCAGGCACTCATTGACGGCTGAGTGGTCCTCAAGCGAGGCTCGGGCACAGTGCGGTTATCCGCCACTGATGTTAGCCGTGGCCATGGAACCGAACTCGGGATGCCGGGTTCGTAGCGCAGTCTCGCTAACCACCGTGCCACCGCCCTTCCATGCGCTTGAGTCCACGCACGCCTAGGCTCGCGCGTGCATGCACACTTGCGGACAATCATGCGCGCGAAGAGCACAGCGTGCATACTTGAAGGCGTTCACTGACGTGCAGCACAATGCGCATCACTCACAAACAATGGAGGTCAAATCACAACAACAACAACAATAATAATGATACTAATGCGCTGCAATGTAATATCTCACACAAAATGTGCGGGTGGAACACGCGTCACGTTCAACGTTCTGTCCGTTTTGGTGCCTCAAGGGGTTTTTTTTCTTTTTCTTTAGAGGAACGCAAAACAAAAGTCGAGCTGTGTTGTTTTGTGTGTGTGTGTGCGTGCGTGTGGGAGCGTGCGTGTAGCGGTTAGCGCGCTGCGCTATGAACCTGGCGACCCGGGTTCCCGCTCACGGCCAACACCAGTGACGATTATCTGAACCGGTCCCGAGCCTCCCTTAGGTCGACTCAGCCTCAAATGAGTACCTGGTGCGGTGTGTAAACATTGCCACTAGGGAGACAAAGGCGATCGGGCGTGGTGCTGGCCACCCACCCCCTCGTGTACCGATTCGGCCTTCGGAGGTGCTCGCTAACAGCACTTGCCCCTACAGTCTGTTAAGGCTATACGGGGGATCTTTGTCTTTGATCTTTTTGCGTGCACTCTCTCATGTCACCGTCGTCGGTGCACTGAGCGAGAGCGAGAGCACACGGGACCTGCGGATTGTCGCGACCCTCTTAAAACCCGGCCGTGTCGACGCGTACCACCCACCCCGCCGTGCCATCGGGGATCCACTTTGTTGTTCGAGGACCCCCGGTTCCGCACGCTGTGCATGCCTGTGCTGATTGAGATTTTTTTTTATTCCTCTCTTGGGATGTGCCTTAGGCTCCCCCCCCCCCCCCCCTTGCACTACCCCCTCCCCCTCCCACAAAAAAACCCCCTTTGATATGGATTAACAAGCCAAAAATGTACTCTTATAATTACCAGCATTTATAGATGGTGAAATGCTTCCATTGTCAATGTTTTCCGTGCTGTCTCTCGTTCTTTTTTTAAGCTTTCATTTCCAAAAACATCTTGGCCGTGCAAGTGGTCAACATTTTATAAATATGCTCGCGAGTATTTCCTGTGAGCAACATGTTCTGTTCTCTGCTATGTGTTTTTATAGTTTTTTTTTAATTTTAATATGCCATGTTTGTGTCTGTCCTGCCCTTTTCGCGTGCCCGTGTTAGATAGCGAAATGTTTTAAAACTCTTCACGCAGGTTCGGGGCAGGGGTCCAAACCAAATCACTTAAACAGTGATTCAAATTCAAACGATGCATTGTGCAATAAAACATTTAAGTGTTGCCCGTGTCAACATTGTCACGTGAAATCATGGCACAAAGTTCAACATTTAAATTGTGATCAGCAAAATTTGATTGGTAACCGTTCTAATTGCCTCATCATAAAGGTATGTAAAACAAAATGCAACGTTCAGATTTGTAAGATGAGTACACTTCATTTTAATAGCTGCACAAGTTTAAGCCCTTAGAGCCAATAAATGTTTGGCCAAACCAGGAATCACGTGTCTGTATCCAAAAATATATTGTGAATCGTAACAGATTTCTTGATTCTAATCGTGAACCCAAATGCTTTTGATTCATGAAATCATGGGTCGAGGGTGCGTGGGAGGTGGTACTCATAAAAAACTGAGGATTTCGCTGATTTAAATCGTCACTGATGTTAACCATGGCTGCGGAATAAACTTGGTTTGTATGGTCCTAGCATAGTGTGTACACACACTGACACACAAAATAAAAAATCCCCCTATAGCCTTAACAGACTGTTGGGGTAAGTGCTGTTAGCGAGCACCTATGAATGCCGGCACAACACACGAGTGGGTAGATGGCAAGCACTACGCCCGGCCACGTTTGTCTCCCCAGTGGCGATGTTTTACACATCGTACCAGGTACCCATTTGAGGCTGAGTCGACCTAGGGGAGGCCCATGGCCGTTTTCAAAAATCGTCACCGGGTTCGTAGTGCAGCGCCCAAATCGCTACACCACCACTCCCCACGACACACACACACACGCACACAGATACACCCCAACTTAGCTTGCACATGCTGGTTCTTGTATGCACGATGGCTTGGTTGGCTGACTCGTGACAAGATTTTAACTTCCTCGCCTGGCTTACAAAAGATCGTGAGTTCCATCGCCGACCTGGACACCTCTATATTTGAATTTTGCATGTTCTCCCCGTGACCATGTAGATTTTTTTTATCCGAGTCCTCCGGTTTTTCCCTCCACATTTATAATCAACGTGCGTTTAGAGTAATTCGGCCGCTATAACTTTCCACCTGATGATAAGCTATTGCGTTGAGTTGTCATTTGTGATGGCCGGGTCCCTTCTGAAAAAGACCTGTGGAGCTCAGTGGGGCCTGAACTGGTAAAAAAAAAACATTAACACTTAGGCGACCAATAGCACCTATAATAGAGGCACTGGGGTTAGATCATGCGAATATAATTGTGTCGCTAAACCCGCCACCATGCGACACAGCCAATTAGAAAGGTTGATCACATTTTAAAAATATGCTAAAACCCACAATATTTTCAATTGTGAATGGGGGTTTACTCTCCAACACTCGAGTGTGCTGTACTAGTAACGAATTGGCACGTTTTGTTTACGTGAAAAAACCCTTTCTAGTTGGCTGCATTGAGGTGGTGGCGGGTTTAACGACACACATTTATATTTACGCGATACAACGCAAAAAAAATACCTCTGTTGTGGATTTAAAAAAAAAAATGTTTATTCAGTTTACGTGCAGTGGGTTTCTGTGTTCAATCACCTCTGATCGGGAGCTCTCTTTTCAGGCTGGGCAGGCCACCAGCGCAGGCGCTGCCAGACATGTCCATGGCGGATGACGCCACCAGGCCGTGCCCCATGTAGCCGTCCAGGAGGCCGTTTGAGATGGGCAGCTGTTCAAAGGAAGGGGGCACGGATGAAACGCAGGAATGCGTCATCGACATTTTGCGGGGGAGGGTGGGGGGTAGGGGAACATCCGAAGATGGAACGTGGACCAATTTTGGGTTCTGTTGGTGTCCAGAAACACACAACAACAGCAGCAACAACAACAACAATAAAAAACACGTGTGACGCTGCGTTATTGATAAATGTGTTGAGTTTTCATGAAATGTAGAGTCCACCTCGCTTCATCGTGTGTTGTAGTTGGCAGCACGAGGATATTTTATGTCATCAAATGTTTACTGAATACATGCATTATCAAATGTCCTTTCTTTTTGAAAATACATTTTTACTCCAAAATAATGAAATACAGAAAGCATAGAAAGCAAGGGAATAGCCGGTGCGAAACGATATAATCACAGCGAACACGTTATATAAACGAAAACCCGAAAGAATTTTTCATCAGAGGAAAAATGCTCATATATTGCATGTTATATCTTATTAAAATGACATTTCCATACAGTTTTAGAAAATGTAGTTATAGAAGTTCTTTCACACTGAAGGTAGGAGGAGTGTTTCTCAGATATATGTTACACTGCAGTAAGCTACAAGTTGGAAAATGCGTAATGGCGTATTAATTGAGTATGGAATATTGTGAAACCTAAACAAATATATATACGTTTTTGCGGAGATGTCACGAAGCTATAGACAGCGATGAAACAGGATAAGCACTTTTATTTAAGCTCACTTTCACTGCGACTTCCAAAGGTGATGCCCTAAAATGCCAATTGCCGTGCTGCACGCGCGCGCTGCTGGGCAGTTTACTCATTCATTATATTCAAGTATGGGCTGAGGTTCAGAACAACAAAGCCCATAAACTTTATGTTTCAATCAGCAGGCTTCATAAAAATAAAAATAAAATGCCTCTACAAAGTCTCTCGTTCATGGCCACAGAGCATCTTGTCGACATTTTTTTTGCCGAGTCATCACTCTTCACGTTGGCGCACAGCCGTCAATGACAGGTATTTAATGTTAGGTTATTTAACAGCAATGACAAGTAACGTAACAATCTTCCCAAAGTTAGAACGCTTTTGACCTGCTACGACATACGATTTGGTCACGATTGAGGTGGTGAACTACAATTAACAGATCAGGGAGATGCGTGGTGAGATGCATGCTCGCGATGACATTGAGAGAGGGAAGCAGATGATGTCAGACGACAAACGCAGGTTCATTACAACATTTACTGACAGCCAAAATAATGTTACGCATCCGATGGTCACGTCCGCGCAGAGGAGATGGTGCGATGGAATCAGCTTGTGTGTAAGTGCCAGGTGGATCGTTACATCGCAGGCTCATGAGAGGTGGCAGCATTTGGAGAGGCCTTCATCCAGCAGTGGATCGATCATAGCTGACATTTGATGATGATGGCAATAGTCGCAATTATATTACAACAAGATATTATTTTTGTTTGTTTAATATATGTAACAGTATCTTTCACAAAGTCATCCTAAATTAGTTTTAACAGATGAGTTTTTGGTTCCCTTTTATCTCAGAACACGTGACATTCTTTATCATTTTAGAGATTGGTAAATGTGGCATTACATCCCGCCACTGGTTTTCAAAATCAAATCGCTTGCACTGTGACAAAAACTAAGTTTTAATCACGGGCAGTTTGCACACCCATGCAATAACTCGCCATAGCTGGCGCTTTTTCGTGAAAAAAAAACATTATTGCTTTTGACCAACAACTATGAGTGATAAATGTCATCACAGTCCATCTAGTGGGTGTGATGTATGCATGTTGAACTTATTTCGCACGTGCCTAACCGTGCTAGAATTGAAGGTGCAGGGCGAAGGACAAACAAACGAAAGACATGGCATCAGTTTTGTGTTTTTCTTGTTAGCGCGTGCCAGTTGAGTTGGGCCCTTACATCGTGTACCCTCGTGACATTGCACAAAAAAACGTGAACAAGCATTAACCACCGAACTCATTTAGAATGAATTTAATTAACCCCAGCACTAATTTGGTAACGAATCAATTAAATCGATGTTCAGCCCTTCGTTAAATCCACCGCTGTATTGAAGGCCTTGCCCCCTGCTGCATCGGTCGCGGAGAATGTTTCACCAAACTTTCACTGTGCGTGCTCTTGATATTCGCTTGCCACGTCCGCGGGACGGTAACTGCGCTAGCCACTGGCCCACCGCTGCCGTGGGTGCGGTGTAAAGGCGCAGCCCTGAAATTGCTCGTTCAAGCCACTGCTGTTAGAACGACCTCGGCTCATAGGGAGTCCAAGAAAGCGCCGCTAAAGGGCACTTGGCCTACTCTTCCACGCGGAATTCAGTATGTGTGAAGGCAATGCACACCTCTCTGGCTGAAACCTTGTTTGTTCATTAATAGGCTTAAAATAGCAATCGTTTCAAAGTGTGTGTGTGTGTGTGTGAAGCATACAGTGCAGCACCTATGCATTCGAGACAAAAGACTCGACGATGGTACGTAATTAGAGACGCTCCCAAATGACTTTGCACAATTAATACAGAACCAGGATGACACGAAAGCCACTGTAGGTTAATTAAGCACGTCCCCTCCTGTTTTAATCATACACGGACATGCCGACAATTATGATAACACTTCAACGATACAAAGGCATGAAGCAAACACGTGAAGCGGGCTTACCATGTCATATTTGTTGCGATCTAGAATTTGCACGATAGTGAGAGCTGATTGCTTATCCTTCATTGTTAAAAAAATGAGGCGACTTTCTCGTCTGCAGACCGCCGCGGCTTGCTGTGAATGCGTGGGCACGTGCTGCACTCTTCCTTTATAAACGCAGCCGAAATGGGGACTTTGCTCTCTTGCCTCCCTTTAAAAGTTGTATCCATAACATCCCCCACCCCCTCCTCCTCCTCCGGTAAGATCCCTTTGCCTGGCAAGGTCAGGACCTAGTCAAAAATTTGCTATGGACCCCTCTCACCCGAGTCCATTATTTTCTGCCCCATCCCCTCCTTCTCCAGCCCCTCACCGCTCACCCCTCTTAACTTTGTCCTTTTTAGCCGCTCACCGCCCCTCTCCCTCTCTCTCTCTCCCCTCTCTCTCTCCCCTCTCTCTCTCCCACAACTCTTCAGCGACCCAGCAGACACCTTTTAGCTGCGCTCATCACAAATCCAAAGTAGACTTTGGCAGACATTGTAAGCGCGAGTTGCAATTGTTGAATTAGTCTGGACAAGTTTCATATCTGTTTTATTGCTGCCCTGTGTATTGCTTTCTCAGTATTTATTTGAGAGCTCTCAAAGTTAAAAGAAAAAGAAAAACGTGATTTCTTGTTCAAGTGAGCATTTTAGTCGGTACCCAAATCCCCTTGTTAACAGTTCTCAGCCAGTGGTGGAAATGCCTCAGTTCTGTGGCAGGTGCAAGTATACCCATAGAGCAACCACTGTTGACTTCCCCACAAAGTGGTACGTATTTTAACGATCCTGGGGGGGGATGATGATGATGATAGGCTCAGCCAACCCCAAAACTAGGTATTGAACTTGTGACCTTCTGATTAGAGGCCACTCACTCTGCTGCTCGTCAAAAATCTACGATTTTCTGACATTTGTATATATGTTTTCGTGAACTATTGTTTACAATAATGCCACAGACTTCATAATGTCCTCGGTTCTTTCGGTAAAGTCACGTAGAAGGGAAACAATAAAATAATAAAAAGATAAAACAACACAATTCTCACGACGTTTCGACTGCAGCACAAGCAATCATCATCATCATGTGTGGAACCCACAACAAGAAAATTTGAAAAAAGTGGCGGGTTTTTTTTTACGTTAGCACCACGGATAGCGATTTGACAGTTTGTTCAGATGGACGAGTCGATCTATGTTCGGAAAAGAGGAGGGGGGAGACGAAAAAATAATGGATGCGGTCTGAAAGCCACCTTAAGCGTGATCAATCAATTAAGACCCGAAATGGTTTATCAAATCCTTCTAATGATTGCTAAGCCAGAATCCATCTTCTCGGTTGAAATTGTCTCTGCGTTTGTATATGTATATGTGGATAGCCTCATGAACGAATCTCTCATGGTAGCCAGATGGCTTGCAAATAACCTCTGTCTTGGTTAAGTCAATGTCATGTGAACCTACTGAATTATAACAGTGATCTGCCACGGCCGAGAGATTCGTTCATGAGGCTATCCACATATTCAAACACAGAGACAATTTCAACCGAGAAGATGGATTCTGGCTTAGCAATCATTGGAAAGATTTGATAAACCATTTTGGGTCTTAATTGATTGATCACGCTTAAGGTGGCTTTCAGACCGCATCCATTATTTTCGTCTCCCCCCTCCTCTTTTCCGAACATAGATGGACTTGTCCATCTGAACAAACTGTCAAATCGCTATCCGTGGTGCTAACGTAAAAAAACCGCCACTTTTTTCAAATCTTCTTGCTGTGGTTTTCACACCTGATGATGGTTGCTTGTGTTGCAGTCGAAACGTCGTGAGAATGTTATTGTTTTATATTTTAATTATTTTATTGTTTCCCTTCTACGTGGTGACTTTACCGAAAGAACCAAGAATATGAATCCCTGCAGTCACGAAAGCTTTACATCAAAATTTCGACTTTATCATGATTGAAGAAAACAAACGATGAGCCCATTTTCACATGTAAGCATTCAATATGTATCGCAGAGACTCAACCTCATGTGGCGTCTGCTGTAATCTCATTGTACTTTGTTCATCGTACACACAGCTCGCTGGCAGGGTGGCCTAGCGGCAACACTTACGCCTCTCCTCAAAAGAGGGCCTGCTTTCGATGTTTGAAGCGTTCTGTGTGCGGGAATTAATATGTTCTCTCTTCGTTCCGCAAGATATGTCTCTGTTGTTTGTTCGGTTTCTACTGAAAGCTAAAAATAAACATGCATACAGTATGGAGATGTTAACTGCCTCGGCTGGTATACAGGAGGTCGTGTGTTCCATCCCGAACCCTGACGCCTGCTGTATATTTGGAGTTTGCGTGTCTCTCTCCCCGTGGTCGCGTGGATTTTTCTCTTGGTCCTCCGGGTTTTCCCTCCACATCTAGAATCAACACGCGTTTACAGTATTTGGCTGCTATACATGTCCGACTGATGAGCCACTTCGTTAAGATATCATCTGTGGCCAGGTTGCTTCTGAAAAAGAGCTATATAGCCTTACCTACTAAAATAAAATAAACAAAAGTTTAAGTTTTCGTACATAACTAGTATTGGCCAAATATCGCAGTGCTAAAACATGAACTGCAAAATTACTCCATTGGGATTACTGATTGCAACATTGCCCTCGACTGCAAAAACTTGGCAGGACCCTCCTGAAACATAGCCTTGAGGCTCACCGGTACTTTCCTGGGTAAAACGATTAGAATAAATAGCTGTTGCCTGTCTTTGAAAATAAAAAAAAGTAACATGAGTCCACATCTATGACCTCTCTAAAAATGTTTTCGGAGTTAAAAATTCAATCCCTGCACTTTGAAGTTTGTACTATGACTTGATACGATGAGGAGCATCGTCGTAATGAAGTTGTGTGCAACTGCTTGAGTTGTAATATATTAAAGTATTTTAAAGAACGTGACTGTAATCATTAACAAAAAAAAGCTCAACCATTATCCGAAACACTCAATATCATAAATGTTGCCATATGTTTCAAACAGACAATGCCTTGGCATTAAAACATACAAAGTAAATATTTGCCAAAACCCGCCACGCATCCGTCATTCATTTGCAAAGAAGCCTTTGCTGTGTTGGCTGTCTCACAAATTGAAATAATAAGCAATGTTGTAAAACATGAATAGCAGGTCTATGGCCTCATCAAGGTGCAATCATGAATATAACATGCCAGCAACATGCACTTGACTGAAGTGTTTGTACATCACTTATGCGCTTTATACTTTGCAGTTTTTTTCGATACGACATTGGACGAAGGCCCCCCCCCTCCCTCCGCCACGTTGTTAATTGGGATTGTTTGACCATACTTCACCACGCGGGTTGGTGACGGAGGGGTGCAGGACCAGTTCAGATAATGCTACTTATTTTTTTGGCCGATACTGTTTATCGAACTTAGGTTGACGGTTTCATCCATCATAAAACATGAAAAATAATTTAAAAAAAATGGTTGAAAAGTATAATGACACCAAACGAATTTAACGGGATGCTTTCATGGTATAGTCGCGAGCACATTCATACTGTACCCATAATAACGAAGACGGTCGATGCATCGAGCGCGCTCTCAGATCCACTTCCGCGGCCGTCTGGAACGCTCTTCTTTCCGATATTAGGAGGCCACTGCAGCTATGCACTTTTAAATCTAAAATGAAAACTCATTTCTGTAGAGCTGTTTTTTTTTTTGTGTGTGTTGAGTTTGTTTTCCTTCTCCCGCACCTCCGATTAGCACGGTTGGCTACGTATGGTGCGAACAAAAGTACAAAAAAATGAAACCGTCCATAATTAAGCGTCTCAGCCCAGTTTAAAATGTTTAGCCCAGGGGACCCCATCAATGGCTCCGTGTCCCTGTGACCGCCACAGCATGGGTGTATAATCCAAGATGAGCATCACTTACAGAGTTGGGGATCTGGACACTTGGCGTTTCCATGTAACCATTGCCCATGCCATCCTTCATGCTTGTCTCTAAACTGATAATGTCGTCAATGACATCATCCATCTGTGGCAACAACAACAACAACAAAAGAAGAAGCATTGCCACTGTTAAAGGACGTCACACATACACAATAACAAGATTGCACGGTGATGCATAATACTAAGACCATTAATACCAAGACCAAGATCATCAGACTATTGCACAGCATTCATGCACAGATACATTCATACTCATATTGTACATAATACTGAAACTTTGAACAATTGTAGCATTATCTATGTAATGTTCAGGAGGACGGTAAATACTGTTAAAAACAAAACTTTTTTTTTACATCATCGGCCATGATCTATCCTCTGCTAGATGAAGGCCTCCCCAAGCCATTGCTATCTCTCACGGTCCTGCGATACCACAATCCGGATCACTCCTGCGCACAAACTGATACGTGCACTGTTCATAAGTCATAAAAATCATTCCTAGCAATGCAGCACTCGCGTTACTTAATTTCTCGCGATTAAGTAAGACCATTGCTCCCCGGCCGAAGTTTGTTTTTCTTGCGCCGAATATTGTTCCACTCCAAGCCTGGAGTTTCGTTCCACGTGCTGGGAGCTCCTGCAAGAACTGAATTAAAACTAAACTAAAACTTTGTTTTTATTTTACCCGGTAAGGCTCCACTTACTGTAGCTATACAGCTCTTTTTTCAGAAGCGACCTGGCCACACTTATATAGCAACCAAATACTCTAAACGCGTGATGTTGATTCTAAATGTGAAGGGGGAAAAAAACACGGAAAACCCGGAAAGAAATACATGCCACAACGGGGAGAGAGACACGCAAACTGCACATTTTGAGGCATCAGGGTCGGCATCGAACCCACGACCCCTGTATACCAAGGGAGGTAGTTAACATCTCGCCACCATGTCGCCCCAATTTATTGCTCGGTATGTGGAGCGAAACATTGGACATCGTGCCGAACAACACGTCCTCCGACCAGAAAACCCATTGCATAGCTATATAACACAAGCGCAAAACAAAAACTATGTGATAAGATTAGTCATGTTATTCACGTATATTAGTGCATAAAATGTTACTCTACAGGAAAAAAAGTGGTTAGTTTTACGTCAATTCACCTAACACAATGGTTTGTTGGTCGACAGGGTATTGAGAAAGCCATCAAGATCACTAGCTACAATATCTAGATGCATAAATACGGTACATCCAATATTCTTCTTCTATTCTTCAATCGTATATTTTCTTTTTCAGTTTGTCTACTTGGACACATCAACACATTAGCATATATTGGTGCACGTTTGGAGCACGATCCCATCGATTCTGATAAATAATTCTGTTTATTACGGCCGAGCCAAATGGAACGACGCCGTGGTGTCAATGGTTAACGCACCGTGGACTTGCAATCCCGAGGGGTTGCCCGTTCTATATTACAGGGCGCAAATTCAAAGGACTGGCAAGTTACTTACATCTCCCCAGCAACCCCCTCACGGCCTCTGCCCACAAAGCGGTACAGGTGGGTTCACCACAAATGAGTCGATCGGCAGATCCGGCGAGTGATGGGGAAAACATAAAACTGAGGTGTTCCCACTTTGTAGAAGAAAGTCTGGCCGGAATGGAAAAGTAGGCAAACATAATCCATGCATATAATGGAAAAAATTCTATAGAGGGATTCACTTGGAGCTCCCCGTAGTGGAGGCTCTTCTGCCAGCAGTGGCATAAGAAAGTAATTAAAAGGCCGTACCTCGCATGAGCAACACCGGTAGAATATGAATGTGTTTCCAAGGCACAAATAAACAGTTCAAACTCACTTCAAGCATGTCCAACAACGCTTAACAACCGCCAAAAACAGTTAAACGCAACATAACACACCACAATTATATTAAACATACAAGTGAATGAAGACATTACAATATTTTTTTTTTTACAACCGAGCGACTTCTTGAAAAAGTTATTGCAAAAATGCAGCACTTTAACAACCACTAAAAACAGTTTAACGCAACGTAACGTCAGATAATTATCTTACACACACAAGTGAATAAAGGCATGCAAATTATGAACATTTTTTTTACAACTGTGCCGCTTTTTGAAAAAGTTTATCTTTCTAAATCTAGATTGAAAACTAATTCCTTGAGAACTGCTTTTGGTGTTTAGCTTGGTTGTCATTCCCCCTGCACCTCCGATTAGCGCGGTTGGCTACGTACGGTGCGAAAGAAGTTCAACATACATAAAATAAAACAGTAAACGTTTTACTTACTCCTAAATGCACTCTCATGAATGGTGCCTTGCATGCGGTCTGCCGTTCACTGAAAGTAGAGCCCGAAATGAACTGCTCGGGCAAATCCCAAAGTTAAGCTTTATACCGTGTCCTACCATGGGGGAAAAGGGTGGCCAATTAATTATTTTGCACGCAAATTGACTGATTTAGTTTCACGCTTTGATTTCTAACACAATGGGGGGCTTGTGAATACATTTGTATTTTGGGTATATATACTGCAACCGAGCGAGACAGGGGCTGGGAGGTTTTTGAGGGATGGATTCGTATAAATAAATAAATAAGCAAATGAAACTAAATAAATGTAAAGTGAAGGATAATTACATTTTGTCTATTGGGCACAATTTGTGTTTTTTTCGACACGTAATGTTCCTAAAATAATGGAAGATTGCAGATGATGCTTATGATCATCAATGTCAGCCGGGGTCAATCAACTGCTGGATGAAGGTCTCCCCAAGCTGCTGCAATCGTTCGCGATCCTGAGATGAGATATTGTGACGCGTCTCAGAAGTGTGGAGAAGCAATACAAGTTAAACGTATTCACGTGCAACGTTGGCGGTGGTATGGGTCATGGTTCCGAATCGAACAGCTGCCCTGGATATTACTGTGGTCTATATTCACGCACAATATACACACAATGTCCGTTTCAAACGTACGTATGAATGTATGGTGAATTTCTTTCGCACCGTACGTAGCCAACCCTGCTAATCGGAGGTGCGGGGGAAGGACAAGACACTAAAGAAATGAGTTTTCAATCTCAATTTAAAAGTGGAAAGTAGTCGTTAAAGATCCCGTGACGTAATTCACGACAATAGGCCATTGTGTACTGGCCTCATTATACAGAAATGCCAAATTTGAAAATTACCTGCATGTTACTCAATTGAACAACACCCGCCATGCGCCACGATATGGCGGTGACGTCTCCACGGCGCCTGTGCCAGGCCAAGTGCACTTGGAGGCCACGTGAAGTGTTGAAGGCTCGCTGACAGGAGGTCACAGGACAGACCCAGGTGCTATGGGTTGACTGAGTGAGATGACTGGCAGATGCACCAGCTGTGCCCCCTACTGTGATATTTTTTCTGTATTTTAGTCACCTGGCGCTCCGCTCATTTTTGTGAGCATCCCTCATCTGCCCTCCATTGTTGTTGGAGGACAACTGCCTTCAACTGACTCGTAGCACCCTTCACGAGCCAGCGGTCTTAACACCTCTGCCACCAGTCTTTGGCAAATCCACTCAGCTCCATATTTTCCCCTACCGCATCAGTCCATCTCTACTCCAGCCTGTGTCGTATCCGTTTAGCCCCCTCTATCTGGCCAAATAGAAGCTGCTTGGGCATGTGGTGGCTGGGCATGCAGGCTATATAACTGAGCCAATGCAGCCTTGCCTGCTAGAGGAACTCACTGATGGGAATGAGTCCATTTTGTCAGCTCCTCAAACAATCCATCCTGGTTAAACCAATGATGGATGGTAGGCTGGCCACCCTGATAATTTCTAACAGGCGCAGATGTTCCATCAGGGGGTCCAAGTTTCATACGCATAGAGAAGGGAGGGCATGAGTGTGGCCGAGAAGACCTCAAGCTTAGTGTGGAGCAACAAACAAGGTCGCATCCACATAGCATTACGCAGCCAATGAAAAGATAATACCGCCGATTAGAGTGAGACCTCTGCTGTCAAATTGGAGCTAGTCATAAGCACACTGCCCAGGATATGGAAAATGCTCAACTCTCTCCACAACTGCCACTATATTAATGGGGAGTTGAGGGATGGAGTGTTTGATGGCATAAAATGCCCAAGCAGGTGCTTAGTTTGTGTGGCTTATGGTAAGACCCCACCTCTTCGTGGCACACTCCAGGTTTAGCAGCAGTCCCTCCAACTCCGCCAGTGAGTGAGCAGCAATCACCAGATCATCAGTAAACATAACATGGTTAACCAATAGGGCGCCATCCGTCGACTGCACCCGGGCATCGATCAGCCTCCCATTGTATATGTACCAGATGGAAATTCATTCGGTACAGCCATGGAAAACTTTTCAAACTACATCGTCAAAAATTATGCTAAATAATATGGCAGCCATAGGACATACCTGTTGGACCCTATGGTGAACAGGGAATGGCTCAGACTCCTGGCCACATAGCTTTACCTGGGCCTGCGCACCATCATGAAGGCCCTTAACGATTGTGAGCAGAGAGTCAGGGACTCCGAAAGCACAAAGAACTGCCCACAGCCCTAGCCTGTTGATCTATCGTAGGCCTTGACCAGGTCGCTAAAGCAGAGATGTAGGTCTTCCTCTACCTCTGCTGTAGCAGACAAACAGAGAATATGGCATCCGTGCAGGACTGCCTTGATCTGAAACCGCATTGGGGCTTTGCAAGCCTCTCCTCAGCGTGTCTGGCAAGGCGATGTTGAATAATCCTTGCCAGGACTTTTCCCGGTACACTGAGAAGAGAGATACCCATGTAGTTGTTAGAATCTGTGCGTTCCCCCTCCTAAAAAAATGATAACCACCAGGGGATCCTTACAATACCATGGAATTCGTCCTGTGGTCCAGACAATTGAAATATACCAATAATCGCACCCTCCAATGAAAACTTGACAGGACCCTCCTGAAAAAGGGTCATGAGACTCAGTGAGACTTCTCTGGGTAAACAAGCATAATGATAACAAATTAAACTCTCTCAAATTAAACGCTTTTTTTTCAGAAGCGACCTGGCCACAAATTATAGCTTAAAGAAGTGGCTTACGTGTAAATTTCAATCAGCCAAATTCTCTAAACGCGTGTATC